ACTTTTCAAAAAATATGAAAAAAAAAAAAAAAAACTCATTTAAATTGATTAAATATAATGCACATGAAAAAAAAAAAACTATCTTCTCCACATTGTCAACACCATCCTAATCTACTAAATAAAATATTTATAAAATCATCAGAATAAAAAATTAAGCCATATCTATTCATAACTAATTTGGTCTGATTATAGTTTGATATGATTAATTTTGAATAAAATTGTCCACCACTACTCCAAACAATCTCGTTGCTCATATTGAAAAAGAGTAGCTAGTGCATAAGTTGGTTGAGTGCTATCACCTGGTCGATGTTTCATGATGGAGTATTGAAGAGAGGTATCCAATCCAATCCAATCGTCGAGGTAACTTCAAAGGTGCAACGCAATTAGAGGGTTTCATGTGCATCTTTTTTATGTGTGGTTGTTGGATTAACAGTTGATCACAATTTGTTGTACGAATGCTTGAATTAGGATAACGTGTTCATATCCGTGTCCAACACGTATAGTGTTAAATATTGACGCTCTTCGAATACTCTACCATAGTCATTTTTTTATTTATTAAAAATACTATGAGCATGTCTGGTGACAATTAAAATCAATAAAAATTTACTTTTTACCGTTTTCTTTCAAAAGTGTGGGGCCAGCTGCCACACAGAAAGTCAAAAGTTGTGTGCTTTAAAATTGTAGCAACGGCACAAAAATCGCTTGAAATCGGAACCAGACAAACCCTATATATTTTTAACTTAAAATTATTATCAATTAACAAATGGGTACATATAACTAATAACAAGTATAAAATTAAATTTATACAATATGAATAAATAATTTAATCAGCGTGTTCATTATCACACTTGTAGCTTTAACTTTTTTCTTCATTATATTTTTAATTTCAACGTTTCATCAATTCGAAAATCCTATCATTAATCATGATTTTCGTTCAAGAATATCATTAATCATGGTTTTCATTCAAGAATATTTTTAATGTGCTTTAAAATGAGGGTCAAATATTTAATTTGCAATACTATTTATTTTGCTTACTGAAAAATACAATGAGCAAATGATGGTGCGTGTAGTTTGCCATTTGCAGTTTTGTATAGTATTGAAAATACGTTTAGTTTGTTATTTTTTAAAGTGCATTTTCGAAAAAAATGATAAATTTATAACATATAACCCAAAAAGCATTTTTGACATTTTGAGTGTTTTCAGTTTAGAAATCTGAAAACACTCAAAACATGGAAAACAAATGTCTATAAAATTAAAACAAAAAATTAAAACAAAAATATAAAATTCTAACAAATATAATTTTAAGAATTCTAAAAAAATAAAATTGATAAATTCTAAAAAATAAAAAATTTAAAAATAAAATCTAAAATTCTAAAAAATTAAAATTAAAATTCTGAAAAAATAAAGATTATAAAAATTTCTAGAAAAATAAAAAATAAAAGTAGTTCTAGCTCTTAACAATTATTTACATAAAAAATCTAAAAAATATATTTAAATGAACAAATACAAAAATATTCTAAGTCCACTTATTAATTTATTTTTATTTCCTATACTTTGAAATTAATTTATTATTTATTATTTTAATTTTTTGTGGGAATAAATATTACAATTTTCACCAACTTTAAAATGTATATGATCCTTGATAATATATTAATGTAAAATTATTCTTTTTTTTTACTGAATAATCAAATTTAATGGAATAAAATATAATAAAACAATTTTTGAAAAATTCAAACCAAACGTGTCTTTATGTTTTTTTAGAAATTTCAAAATAGACTTTCAAAACAAAAAAAAAAAATGGAAAATGAATTCGAAACTCAAAATTGAAAATAGAAAAACAAAATCGAGTCTTCTTACTTTATCTTAAAGAAAATTTTGAAGAGAAATCATAATCAATAATGACTTTTGTTAATTTAAAATAAAAATTTGTTGAAAAAAGTTCAAGATATAGATTTTATGATTCTTTTATTCACTTGAAATGTAGTTTAATTATTAAAAATCATGGTGTGGATATATTTAACCTATTTTTTCTTGACAAATATGCACATATATTTTCAAAAGTTTTTCCAAATTTTTTTCTCTTCCTTTCATATGTATTTCGAACTGTCTAGACATTCCCATCAAATTATACGAAGTCGATTTTTTTCTAGTTCAATTAGTCACACTCTTTCCTTTTGCGTTGATTTTGAAAAATTCAGGCATTATTATCAAACTAGACAAAGTTGATATAATTTTTGGTATTATTAGATTTAACACATGTTTGAGTCCCATTAATGTGTTCTTTTTGTAAGTTAAAAATATTTAAATATTGTCGTCAAATTAGACAAAATTGAAAGATTTTTTAGTTTATTTTGACACACATTTTCTTCTTGGCAACTTCGTGTAGAAGACAATACGGTAAAAACAAAAAGTTGCGCCACATTACTTAAATGGCCATATTGAATAAGTTTTTTTTAGTGAGAAACAATTTTTATATTGCCAAAAAAGAATTGATTAGTTAGAAAAATCAATTGACGCATTAATAAACCCAAGTACATTCTAGAATATCTGTAGATAATTATAATATTTATCTTATTTAATATAGGATGAAGCTCCTTAACTTTTCAATTAGTGTAGTTTTGGATCCTCGACTTTCAAAAGTAAGGTTCTAGATCTCCAAAATATTTCAATATGTTGAAATAACGAAGTTCGATCCAACTAACATCTAGAGGGAGGTGAATAGATGTTTATGCTAAATTTAAACTTACCAATTAATAATTACAACTAACACCTAGAGGAAGGTGATTAGATGTTTATGCGAAATTTAAATTTACCAATTAATAATTACAGCAAGTTACATTTATTAATAAATCTAGATGAATTCACATGCACAACTATCCTATATTGAATTACCGCGGTTAATAAATTACTGAAAAATAAATAACACTTGAAAATTACTGACGGAGAAAACCTGTAACTAGGTAAAAACTCTGGGGCCCAAGCCAGTAACAGTCCACTATAAACGAATTAACTTATAGTACTGTCAGACTCGACTGACTCTAGTACTTTCTGACCACATGACTGTAATTACCAAAGCCATCTTGATCCTGGATTGCGTGCTCCTGCACCAACTCTTAATTTTCTGAATTCGTCTATCTTTTGTGAATTAATGAGAACTTCTTGTTCTCCAACAACCAGAAATTCTGGTTACCTTCCTTGATTTTCAGAATACTAACGATGTTATGGAAGAATGTGTTTTGGTGTTTGGTGTATACGAGGATAATATTTTTCAAAGCAATGATCAAATCAAAATGAAGGTTGAATGCTAGGAATGATATGGAGGATGTAAACTCTTGTTTCTCTCAATGTTCAATTTGGATTTTTCGAATAGCGGCGTTCATATATATAGTGAAGAGGTTTTGGATAGTATGGGCCGGATAGACCTTAAAAAACGCGAATTATGTTTTCTCGGGATACCCTATCTGTCGAGCGAGAGCTTAGCGACAGGTAAACGATGACGTCTCACTCAAGTGAAGTCCAGACGACAGGCGGACGACGCAACTTCTGTTTTTACCGCTCGAGTATCAGTTGGGCGATATGCTAGCGAAATTGAGGCAACTTTTTCCTTCTCGTTCCAAACTCAAACCCTAGGACTTCTAACCACCCACTTGACACTTTGACTTTTAAAAAATCTTTTACAACAATAGTTTGTCAAAATATTGCCAATAACTTTAAAACCTAACATATGTAAATCTAGATCCTCACATGATGAAAATCATCAATACGGACATTAAAATTGCATGTAACTTTCATTTGACTTAAAGTTAGATAACAAATCTATCAAATCACTTAACATTTGATTTTAGAACAATGCTATATGTACAACTATAGTTGACAATCTTGAGTTGGTAAAATTTACACCATCTATTTTAAAAACTGTTTTTAAAATCAACCAATCAGATCTTGATAACACAATGATTGTCAAAAAAAGATATCAACAATCATTATACAAATAGCATTGTTTTTTATTTTATATCATTTGAAAGTCATATACAATATTAGCGCCTTATATATTGTATATGTGATGTAGGATTTTATAGTCACATTTTTAAATAGACTGAAACTTATTCTATTTTCCCTAAATAATAAATATTAATCAATTTTGAAGTTAATATTAGTGATCAAAGTTCAAGTAAAAATATAAACTAGTCATTAAGGTATTTTTATGATCCATTAAGTCACTAAAGCCAGATAATATGACATAATTCATCACCTTGTTATCCTTATTAATGTTTGGCACGTAGACCTTCACATGGACTAAAGATTGTTAAAAAACGACCGATTCCTTTTGCAGGCCTCCTATTTAACTGTAACCTAACTTTTTTACTGATTAATAATAATGAATACTGTTAAGATTAACCGAAACAATTTGAGATTTTTATAATTTCATGATACTAGCAATTTAATCGATATCAAGGTTCAATGAGCCGACATCAGATCCGGCATCTATGCGACATTATTTAACTTCAATGATTAAATGAGTAAAGAAATACTTTAACCACCCTTTTGAAATTTCACTTGAACTTGAGTGACCATTTATGAAAATATCATCAATTCTGCTCCCAAAAAGTGTACACTTTATATTGGAAAAAGCGAGTCATCATTGACAAACTAGTATACAAATAACCAACCACATGCTGGCCGGCACTTTGGTCTCTGTTTGATTGCATCCCTAAACCGATGTTACAGCACGAGAAATACTAGATAACTTCTTTTTGTATATCATTTCTACCCACGTGTATTGCCCATCAGTTTCTTCAGAGGTAACTTGTTAATTTTTCTTTATTATATCTATTTCTTCATGTAAGTTCTTCGATTTCCCCCCCAAAAAATACGTTAATATAAACTAAACATATTTTTATGATTGTTAAATCACTTTTCTGTTATACCCTTTTCTCAATTGGCTTGATTTTTACTTCTTCGTTTGAAGGAAAGTTGGTAGGGAGAGTTTCAGAGAGAAGATGGGAAGGCCATTTGTTGTAACCCTCGAAGGCAAGATCTACAGTTGCAAGTACTGTGGAACCCATCTTGCTCTCAGTGACGACATAGCATCCAGGGTTTTACCTTCATCTTTTGATAAATGAAACGATTAATCTATTCTATTTTTGATATGTTGAATTGATGTATAATCTAGAATTGGGTTAACCATGTTATTATTTGTCTTTGGTGGGTGGTTGACTCTTTCTATTTTAGTAGTTTTTGAGTTTAAATTGTTCTTGATTTTTTTTCTGAATTTGGGATGAAATTTTAGATTTATAGTGAAAAGGGTTTGATTTGATTATACGAAAATTAAATTATTTGTTTCAGGTTATATCTCAGTGAGATTACTTTTGTAACTTATTGAATTATCTGAGGATTTACAGGAGTGGAATTGGGAGATGAATGTTAAATGTACCTATAATGATCTTCGATTATCCAAAAGAGAATTTCCCGAAGATTTATTGATGGACGATATTTGGATAAAAATCTTATTTACCTTTCCATATGGAAGATCCGTGCAGATCTAAAACTCCTATTTTCTCATAAGATCTACTTATGAAAGTTAGGGGAATGGAAGCTAAGCTTCCTTTGGTTCTCCCCGAGAATGACATTTCTGTACCTGTTTTTAAGGATCTTGGATAATTGAAAATATAATTATTTTCAACTTCTAAGAATTCTGAATGGACAAACTGGGGTGGATTTTTGTATGACTCATTGGGAGCCTAACATCCGTGACATTTTATTGCACTTAAATAGTATATCTATGCTTGCTTTGGTCTAGCATGATCTGCTGGACTTGTACTTCCATAGTAGATTATATGCTGCTGACGCGAACTTTCCTGGTTTTACTCTTGAGATTTTCATTGCTGACCGATCTCGTGATTATGGAATTTGTTTTTCTGTATCAATTTCAACGGCATATAGTTTTCATGAAATCATGTGTACTTTTGTGCATGCCCACACTTCTATCTTGAAATGTATGAAACTTTCTACAAGTATTTGATGTAATTGCACCAAGGGTCTGTTTTAAAATGAAGGATAAAACATAGCATATTGTTTAACTTGCTCTTGGAGGAATTAAGTGCAGATCCGTGTCTAAATGTCATATTTGTTGAGCTTTCAAGTCTTGGATAGTGGGCTACTGGGCATAGCAAAATATGAATATTCTAATTTTTTTTTCCCTTTATTTTTATGATAAAACGAGTTTTATTATCAATGCAAAAACTCAACACAAGTGTCTCGCACCCTTATCTGAGTGTCAAGCATCCTGTATTTAATGGAAGCCCTAAGCATACAACACTGATGCGTTGTTTATTATGTCTTAATTATCTTAATAACATACTACATTTTTTGTTTTATATTCACTTTTTCTATTGTACTATCGTACAATATTCAAGTTTGATCCCTATTCTTGTCAAATAGAGCATGTCTTTCCTGCATTCTGAGAAACTAGTCAGAAACAAATTCTTTGACTCTTTTTCTTTGTGGTTCTTTGCTTCAGGCTTTCCAATCCAGAAACGGAAGGGCTTATCTCTTCAGGAAGGTGTAAGTTTTTCTTGATTTTCGGCATCTTTTTACCATATTTTGGGAACAAATGGTGCAAGCATCCATCCATATACCTGTTTACGATTTTACCAGTTACTGAAGGCAAACATATACTGAAAGACTTCTTCTCCCTTCCCGAAACCACCACACACATTAATTTTTATTCTTTTGCATAGGAGGCTGTTGTAAGGAAATGGAGAAGGATGGAAGATTTGTTCAAGGAGATATTAATTTGAATCTCGCATTAGAATACAATTCTGGTCCACAAAATAAGAAACTCAAGTTGTTATAGAAATCCCCTAGTGTTCGGATTGATCCTGTGTTAATTTTACCCAGACCTACTACTTGCTTGTATTTTATTCCGCTAAATTACACCAAAATCCCAAACCTAATAAAGAAGAAAATGCAGAGAGAGAGAGAGAGAGAAGAGAGGGGTCTCTGACTAGCTTAGTATGTTATCCTATCTCAAATCTCCATACTATCATGCTGACTGTAAAAATTGGTTTATTAGTTTTATATCCATTTCCTGTTTCTCCTAATGCTCCTGTTCATGAGAGTGAGGCAATCCAGTAGAACATGTTAGATGAGAGAGGAATGAATAAAAAATAATATGTCCTGTAGTAAAAAATTTCCAGAATATCTTCTTTGTCTTTGTCTTTGTTGTATGCATCAAATGTCGTCTACTGCTTTGAGAATCTCAAGAACCCATTTTCTTTAGAGAAGCACATTTGCTTTAGACATTGTTTGTGATCGGACCCCAAAATATTGGGTGAATAATCTTGTTTTGATCCATTTTTGTATCTACTGAGCAAACAGACACATGAATATGGTTCGGATTGTAGTCGTCAAAAAGGGGCCTCCAGGTTGTAAGGGAGCATAACTTGGGCGCATCAGTTGCATGCTTATTTTGCACAATTTTAAAGCTTTTATTCCCATCATTTTGTTCACATCTATACACAAGCACAGACACGAGAAAAAAGAAACAGACAACACTTACCAATCGTGACAAAGTAGAGAGAGAGAGAGTGGAGAACACATTCATATTTGTACATATTCAACTACACTAAATGGGGAAAAAAGAGAGAGCTCTCATTTGGATTCTATTATATCCATTTGTGTACTACGTTCTGTTTTCTTTTACAGAGCTAATGTCACTGTCGGAGAGTCGGAAGAAAGAAAGATGTTGACTGGAATTCACATAGTTGCCGACATTTTCTGCGTCCAGTGCGGTTCAAACGTTGGATGGAAATACGTAAGATCCATTTAGGCAAGAAGACGTTGTTGCCTGTACCCGATTCAACACGTGTTGGGTCATTAATTATTGTGGATGATTATTTTCAGGAGACAGCTCATGAAGAGAGTCAAAAGTACAAGGAAGGCAAATCTGTCCTTGAGAGGTCTGTTAATTGCTGGATTGCAGTTATTAAAGCCTGTATGATCAGTTTCGTAGCTTTGAGATCCCTTCTTTTGTCGAACAGGTTCAAGATTTTGGGTCCAGATGGAAGCCTTTACTGGGCGAGTCCTGAAGCACACATCGGAGGTAGTGATGCTGATGATACTTGATTTACCCTTATTATCTCCAGTTATACTTCCAACTGTACATTCTTTCAAATCCCCCCTCCCCCTGCAAACAGAAGACATTCTTCTTCTTCTTCTTGAACAGCTGAATTCATGGAATTGAAATTCGAAAGCTGTCAAAAGCTTGCTTATTCTCATGTATCACCATGTTCACTGTAAACATTCGATAGTTTAAACAATGATATCTAACTTTGTAATCTGTTATTTTTACATATGACAGAGTTGATGTCACGAGTTCTTGGGTTTTTTTAGCTGGGTGAGTTGTGAAGTGCAATATTTTTTTAAAATCAGGTTTGACACCTTTGTTTGTATAGAGCATGCTAAATTTTACCATAATGTTGGAAATTGATTCGTTATTCGTCTAAATCATAAAACTCGTATTCAACTATTTTTGATGTAAATCATAGTATCTATTATGGAGTTCTTGTTTTTATCTAGTCTCAACACGCTTGATGTTATGTAAAGTTCTCGTGCATGAAGGTTGGCTTGTAAAAGGGGTAATGAGACTATTTTCATCTTTCTTTTTTATGGACTTATAGACCATTTATGATACTTGCTCATCAAATAAACAAAATATTGGAGTACAAAGTGGTGCTTTCAGGGCATTAGTACTTAGTAATAAAGGAAACAGCAATTGAGATGCAAAATTAGATTCAATTTCTTGTCATGCACTTTGTGCTTCCAAGAATAAATTGAAATCCTCCCTTGCCTTCACGAGGCGAGGCGTAATGCAAGTTGGTGAATCTGGAGATGACGTAGAAAAACGAACGTGACGTGCCGATTCATGTGATTTCCCGTGTTGCATTTGTGAAGATGATGTAGTGTTCTTGAGAACCCCTTTTCGATCCTTGTCGAACACAAAAGCAGCTGTAATCGGCGAATCTGTGCCGTTTGTGCTGCATCCCATAAGCTCCACTGGCAAGTCGAAGAAGAGATTTGAGGAATCTCCATCGTCACCGTTGATAATTGCTGACGATGTCCATGATCCACATTCGAATTTCTCGAGGGATACTCTCTTGGACACAATGTGTGGTTCCTCCTGATCCTTTTTGGATTTCACTGATTTTGCCTTGTTACTAAATCCTGGAATGAACAAACATAGAGCTCCACATTTGAACTTCTCTTCTATCGTGTCGTCGCTGATATTATTTTTGACGACATGCACTAATTTGGGTTCGGCTTTGTAATCGTCGTTGATTTTAGTCAGCCAGAGATCCAACTCATCCGACGGTTGGGATGCCCGGTTTTCACCACACGACTTGCTCCGTCGCAAGTGGTTTTCACGTAGACGTTCTAGATTACTAAGCGCGACGGAATGTTGCCTGGCCAATGGATTAACAGAAAGAGGAGACACTTGGCCATGATTCTTCCGAGTTTTCTTCTTGGGGACAAATCGAGGCGACGTAGATGCCGAATTGGGGAGGCTGTAGCTCAAGAACTTACTCTTGGCCGGTGGCAATGGAAGAGGCATGACTAATTGCACATTCCCTGATTCTTTTAGGGAAATTGGATCGACGGAAATCTGCTTCTCGCTCTCCTTTTTGTCCAAGACATTATGGGTATCCATGGCAACAAATAGAACTCCAAAATTATGGATACTGCACAGAATTGTGTTGTGATATTTAAATGAGAATGGTACACTGCGTAAGTTACGCAACGTGGAAGCAATATCTAGTTGTGATTGCCATGTTCTTCTGCCTCCCTCAATATAAAAAAATATACAAAGGATTTAAATAAATATTAATGCTACCCCAGTCTTTCTCCCTCTCCCTCTTTAAATGTACAAACTACAAAATCAAATATAAAAATTGGTCTTCCATGCTTGCTTAGCCAAGTTTAAAATAATTACACTAAAGTCAAACGTTGTTTTTAAAATCCGATGAGGCAAAATTGAAAGCTGCAGATGGAGTGGTGGCCAGATTAATGAATTATTGACACGAACGTAAATTTGTCACTTTTTAAAATTTGTGTGACTTCCAGCTTATAAGTGTTGTGTTTCTAAAATTAAATTATGTTCTATGTTTAGTTAATGCAAGTGAAGTATAATTACAAAGAAAAAATATGTATTTTAATTTTTATTAATTAAAAAGTCACTCTTAACCGTACACATTATTTTTTCTTTTCAAAATAATGTTCGTATGATTCTCAAAAAACTTCTATTTTTAAGGGTATTTTCCGTACTCTAATTAATTCATATTTCTATTTTTACTACTCACATTCATTTATTCTAAAAATACTATTAATATATAGTAACATGCATGTTCTCCTGCCCACGGTGAGAAATCTTATTATGCACACTTGGAGAGAACCCAACGTTGTGTTCTCCTACCACATCAGTAGGAGGGCAGTCTTATTCTGTCCACCGTGGACAGGAGAACAATTCCATATATAGTAAAATGATCAAACTTTAATGAGAGTCGATAACAAGTGGCCCATTAAGCACAGCAGACACCTTAATTCATAGTAATCAAGATTCTACAATATTACACGAGATCTCCCATTTTTGAACAATCACATAATTTTGAGAACAAATCAAAACATAATTTTCCAAAGAAACGCTATATGTTTTCCTCAAAGTCCTCAATTCCTCTTCCGATCAAAATCAAAATTGGTCTCAAAATATGGACATGCCAAGAAAACGACAATCTCATGCAGTGGTTATAAAAAATTCAAAAAAGCTACTTGTACAAAAAGAATTTGACAAAAATGTTGACAAACACTCACATGATTGCCGGCCCCACATGAATAAAAAATTGAAAATAAAAAGTGGGCCCCCCCACAAGTGAGGGTTTGTCAACATTTCAAAAATGTTGACAAACACTCACATGATTGTCGGCCCCACATGAATAAAAAATTGAAAATAAAAAGTGGGCCCCCCCACATGTGAGTGTTTGTCAACATTTTTGTACAAATTCTTTTGTACAAGTAGCAAGGTCCTAAAAAATTTCCGGTGGAGAATCCATTTCCCATCAAAATCAACTATCCAGTACGCCATTTCGTAGAATTACGAGATCAATGACGAAGATCCATTCGTTGTCGAAGAAGATTGTTCTTGAAGAGTCCATCCAAACGCGCTGCAGATGCACCATTTCATTGGGCAATAACTGAACCCAGGATCGAAAATTTGAAAAGAGGGTTGTCGAAGCTATAGAATTGACGTCTAAGACGAAGTAGAAGCTAGAAGCTCACTTTTATGTTTCACATATTTTACATTTTTAAAATAAATTTTTGTATATTAGGTTTTCGATGCTTTACAAATTTCAAAGTATTTAGTTATCATGAGTCAAATTTCTCTCCTCGCATATTTTTATTTTTGTATATTAAGGTTTTTTATGCTTACCAAATTCTAAGTATCTTGTTATATATGAAGCAGTATTTCCGACTTTATTTAATTTTATAGTATATCTAATTTATAAACCTATTTGTAGTATAACATGGAATATATTTTATTCTAATGGATAATTATGATTTTTTTTCCTAGGGAAATAAGAAAATAAGATAAAATTACACTTCGCAAAATATGCTTAAGCAAGTTCAAACCTGTCTTCTCTACCCACTTTCTTTGAGTCCTCGAACTATACCACTATTTATATCCTTCTTCAGAAACGGGCTCAATATGATAGCATAGTTCTTTGTAAGATCAAGGCAAATAAATTTATCGATTCATACAATTGTCCATGTACCAGTAAAAGATTTTGTCACATTTAATTAGAGTCCTCATTCATTTTCTTTTGGCATTCGTAATCTCCAAACTTCGATTTGGTGCACACAGGTCGTTTTGAACAGATATTGTTGAAGACTTTGCTGAAACAATTATGTTACATGAACATAATGATTGACATAATGTCACATGACAACTTATCATTGGACTGTTTAAAACACAGTCGGCTTTTTCTACCAATCACATCTTGCCAACACCTATTTTGTCAGTCATTATGTCACATTTTTCGGACAAAATAACATTATTCTTGCTGAAAAGACGTGTAATGCATGTGACATATTTTTAAGAGTATTTTAGTCAAGCATCTTTGTTTCTTTAAAAATAATTGAGAAAAAAGGAAAAATTAGGGGAGGGTGGGGGAACCAAATCCCCACCTTTTAGTTGGAACTTTTTGATCTTTGTGACTTTTAGTGAGGATGTGTGGTTTTCCTCCAAGAAACAAATCCACCTACACAAACATAATCAATTATAAGATTCTTAAAAGCAGAAAAAGACATTGTAATTACTGAAGCTCACATGGGAACTGCAACAATCATATACCTAGACTTCTTATTGCTCGTGTTTGGGTCAATTTAAAAGTAAGTTATCATTTTTCTTCCTAAGTAATAAATATGTTCTTTTTAAGTTCCCCGTGATAATCAGATAGCCCCTGTTTGACACCCATTTTTTATCTCATTCTCATTTTTCTACAGTACTTATTTCTAACCACACATTCTTCAAATAAAATAATATTACACATAAACCAAAAAATTCTTCTTACTTTTTAACCACACATTCTTTACATCAATCACTATTCAAAATAATGGGTGTCAAACGGGGGCTAAGTACTACTTATTACTAACTCTGACTAACAAAAATATTATTCACTTTAGAATTTACCTTTTTAGGGCCGGGTTCAGTTCCATTTTTTAATAGTAAATTGATGGAAAATGTGTGGTTAAAAATGAAGAAAAAGTTTTCGGATTGTGTATAATATTATTTTATTGAAAAATGTGTAATTGAAAAAAAAAATGTATTTTGAAAAAAATGAGGATCAAACAAGAGGTTACTCGTGAGTAAGGCCTTGTATGGGAGGGATTAAAATCGGATTAAAATTGAAAATATAGCCGTTATTGTTGACTTTTATTAGACGAGTGGGACCCAATAACGGCCATATTTTCAATTTTAATTGGCTTTTAATCCCTTCCGAACGGGGCCTAAATTTTTAGGCTTAGCTAGACAAGCAAGCGTTGGGGAAAACATTGTGGGACTTTTCCCTTCACTTCCTTAAATCAATTCTCAAAACAAATCTTTCCACCGTTCATTGTTTTACATTAAGCTATAACTATTGTTTTATAAGCAATTTTTTGAAAAGACAATTTTTTCTCCTTCATACAATTTTGTGGTGTCCATTCGATCGTACTAAACACATAATTAATAACATACTTTCTCTTCTCTGTTTTCTTTTCTTCTCTTTTCCAAGAAAATTACAATGACATTTTTCAAAGACGTTGACATCGTTTCTTCAAAATTTCACATTTTTCTTTTCTTTGATAGAATTCCCATAAATCCAATCCAACGGTGTCACACTCGATAAAACTGTGGTTAAAGATTTGAAGAAGGTTTATTAGCTAAAATGTCCCTATTTTTGGAGTTCATTTCGCAAAAAGTCCCTACAATTTAATTTTTTGTATTTTCACTCATATTTCCACGTTTCATTGTGGAAATGTCATTTTCATCTAGTTTTTTCAATAAAATGACAATTATACCCTCTTATTTAAAAAGAAAAATAAAAATAAAAAATAAATTGTAACCGTACTTCCAAAATTTTCAATAAAATACAAATAAATCCCAAATAAATAATTAAAAATTAAAAATACAAAAACAAATATCATCCACCTTCTCTGCCACCACCATTTTCACTTGCTAGAAACACCACGCAACCGCCACCTTATCCACTGGAAACCTCCACCACCATATAGCCCTCCATCCCATCGTCACCAAATTGCCCCCGCCCCCGCCATCCCCTTTCTCTCCATCGGAAACAAACTCTCAAACCACTAAAAATCATCCTATGTTCTCACATTTGGTTGACTGGAAAAATAGTGGCAGAAAAAGCATTTACAAGATATATCCAAGAAAGGGGGAAACTTGGGCATTGTTTAAGAATCGGGATATTAATTGCTATTTCGATACAGGGACCATAAAAGTAATTACGAATTTGAGTTTGTTGAGGTCTTGTCAAACTATGCCAATACTACTGGTGTACATGTTGCGTTATTGGGTAAGGTAAAAGGGTTTACATGTCTTTTTGTTCGAACAAACATGGAAGGAATGGTATCGATTCAGTGAAAGAACTATTCAGATTCTCTCATAGCAGTCCTTCGTTTCAAATGACTAGGAAGGAAGGACCAAATGTTCCCAAAGGATCATTTGAACTTAATCGTGCTTTCTTGCCTGCCAATCTTAGTGAAGTTGTGGAGTCTGAACCTACTGAGGCTGGAAAGATGTACACTACTGCTGCTTCTTCTAAATTTTTTGCAGATGTGGATCCAGAGGTCAAGTTTGAGAAAAACGCTCCCAAAGAGAAACTAAAAGGGAAGTTTTTGGGAAATGCAGTGGCAGCAAGTTTGGTGATGATGAGATGAAGGGCTATATGGTGGGGGTTGTTTCCGGTGGCTAAGGCGACGGTTTGGGGGGGTGGGGGGTGTTTCCGACGAGTGAAAGTGACAGTGAAAGATAAAGGGGGTGATTTTTGTTTTTTTATTTTTGATTTTTAATTATTTATTTGTGATTTATTTGTATTTTATTGAAAAATCTTGGAGTGTGGTTGCAATTTATTATTTATTTATTTTTCTTTTCTTTTTGTTTTATTTAAATATGGGGGGTATAATTATCATATTATTGATAAATTAGATGAAAATGATGATTTTCACAATGAAACGTGGAAATATGAGTGAAAATGTAAAAAATTGAAACGTATGAAAGTTTTGTGCTAATAACCTATTTGAAGAATGAGAGTGAAAATATAAGAACCCGATTAACATGTGTTTGGCACCCATTTTTGGAAAATTATAAATTTTGGAATAGTAATTGATGTAATAATGTGTGTCTGAAAAGTAATAAAAAATTTTAAATTTGTGTGTACTATTATTTCATTTGGAGAATGTGTAGTTATAATTAAAAAATAAAAAAAATTAATGGGTGCCAAAACACCCTAAATTTAAAGAGAGATGTCATGATTTGGAATTTTTCTTGAAACCACAAAGTATAAGGTGCGATCACGTCAATGAAAGGATCGCAAAAGTAAATGATTGAACCGTCTAGATTTTATATGATTTGGATTAGATCTCGATTATATTATTAGACTGATTAGTTCAAATTTGTAACTGGCCTAATCACTTTTGTTGGTTAAACTTGACACTTAGCGCACGTCACTTAGATTTTAAATTAAATTTTTTAAATTATTAATTCATTGTAAACTTTAGTGACTAAATAGATTAGAAAAAAAAATGTGATGACAAACTTGAAAATTTGTACAAACTTTAGTAACTTAATAAAAATAATCAGAAAGTGTTGGGTCAGTTTCGTAATTGTGAAACGCAGAAGAACAGTCGGAATTCTCTGATAACGTAACTTTTAACAGAGATGAAAAACAGCCCAATCCCCCATTACATGTATTATTATCAATGCTACCCCACTCTCTATGGTCTATGCACTTCGACTTTCTCTCTCTTCCCCAATTCTAATATCTGAAAAGAATTCCAATTTCATTTCTCAGGACTAAAATGCCAATTTCCTGAAATTATTCATATATTCTCCCCCATTGCACCCACTGCCACTCCTTTTTCACCGGTTTTCACATCATTTCTGCTCTATATGCACAAGGGTACATTATATTCTGTCTATTTCTCCGTCTTGGTTTAAAAATTCGGAGGTTGTTGATGTGAAGAAAGTGCAGTGCTGACTGATTTCAGCTGAATTATGTTTTCGTACTTTGAGGCATTGAAGGTCGATTCTTGGATCTGCGATTCACGACGTCAATTTCGTTGCAATTGAGGGAAAAAAACTAGGGTTTTTTGAATTCGAATGATTTCGAATGTTTCTGAATAATCGAGGGTTATTTTAAGTTTTGGTGAGTCTTTTTTCCCCCGTAATCTATTGGCATGAATCGGAGCTTTAGGGCACCGGAGAGGGAGAAAATGGGTAGTCTGAGAACATCAATGATGAAGGACACCAAGGATGAGGACCTAGCATTGTTTCGCGAGATGCGAAAACGCGATAAGGAACTGAATAATCTTCTTCTTCTTCAGAACTCTGACGAGCTTGATTCTCCACCTGGTATTAAATTAGAAGTTCGAATTTTAACGTCTTTTTGCATTTGTATTATAGCATATGGTGATTACTGCATGATTGAAGTTTTTTTTTTTCCTGTTTTTTTGACTGGTGATTATATTTGTTAGATTTTATTCTGGGAATTTTTAACTATTTGTCTTGACACGATGTCTTTCTGTGTTAATAAATAATTAGATAAGCCTTTTAAACCAGTAATAGTGCTGACATCTTAGATTCTGTCACGTATCTGAGAACCAGTCCCCAAAAGCTAGCTAATAAAGATGGAGAGCTCAAGCCAATATAAATCACACAAAGGAAGCTTAAACTTCCCATGTGGGATTTAGGTGCCCCATACATTCTAATGGGAACCAAGACAAACGACCACGCTTCCGACTCGGCGTCCACATCGAGCAGGTGCTCATACACTTTAAGTGGTAATCGAGATCAGAAGACACGTCTGCTCTGGTACCATTGTCACGTATCTCAATTGGGAGAACCAGACCCCAAAAGTTAGCTATTAAGGTTGGAGAGCCCAAACCAATATAAATCACACAAAGGAAGCTAAAACTTCCGATGTGGGATTTAGGTGTCCACCCCAATGGGAACCATTACAGATTCTTGTAGTAATTAGGCTACGGAGTGATGAAGAAAAACAAATCAAAGAAATACCCTTGTAATTTATTCGTTGGAAGCTGGTGTGCTTAAGTTAATATAGGTTTCTAACATAAGTATTATTATTATCTCAATATGCAGGGTCAAGAGCTGGTTGTTCTCCAATATTTGATATAACATCAGCTGCACCTGTTCGTGCACCTGTTCGGAAAATTGGTGCTGATGATTTTCTCAATTCGGACAATGATAAAAATGATTATGAATGGTAATCATTAATATAACTTATGGTTTATTATTTCTTCCCATTGTGACAATTTCAATTTTTGTCGTTAATTAGTGAGGATAGTTATATCATTAGCTTTGGAATGAAAGTATCTGTCCCTGCCTACTTGACTTCTCTGTTTTCTTTGATGCGTTTGGTAATGGAAGTGTCCGTCTCTTCTTTCTCGAGTGCCTTAGGTATGTGAGCACGTGAGTAGTATCTATTAATCAGTGAACTACAATTCATAATCTGTGCCTGTCATTTTTGTTTTTCTCTGTTGGTAAGATTAGTTGAACAGTTAATCAAATAATCTGTGAACCAACGATTATGTTATCAAAGCTTTGCAACTGATCCTTAACCAATGAGCATAGACGGCGTTGGCATTTCAGCCCCCCCTAGAGCTGAAAAATGTTAACAAGCTACCAGAAAATAGCTCATTCAAATCGGTTCATTAGCTGAACAAGTCAATCTGGAGACATGTTTTAGCATTCGTAGAGCTCATCTCAATAAGTTAATAATAATTCATAGAGAAGTGGCAAGTTAGTCCTCTTCTTAATCAATTCAAGTTCAAACATTATTTTATGCTCATTGCTTATAATTACGCTAGGCTGAAGTATTACTTTAGTAATTTGTCTTCCTCATACCTTTTTCCTAAATGTCATATTTCCTGTAAGAGTTGCGACGTCATGTGTGCTTATCAATACAATCACAAATAATTTTTCTTAACTGGATTTGCAACTTTCACTATGATTTGAATGCAAGATGATTCGAAGTCCTTTATTATTGTAGTGTAGTTATGTTTTGTTATGTTTTCAGGCTTTTAACACCTCCCGGTACTCCTCTTTTTCCTTCACTGGAGATGGAATCACAGAAAACTGTTATGAACCAGCTGGGAACTCCAAAAGCCCGTCCCACTGCACTAAAATCTAGAGTAAGCAGAATTTTTTTTTGTTCTTTTGATGTCTTTCTTTTTAATATCCATACTGCACTTCAAATGGTGATAATCATATTCTTAAATATTGGTCAAGATGCGATTTTAGCAGTGCTTCAGGCATAATAGGAGTTCAAATATTCATAATGTACAAGTAAAACCAACTTAAAGCATGTTAGGAACTTGTTCATAAACGGTTTTGTGTATATATAGATAGAAATGAGTGATGGGTAGGTAGGTTGTGCTTGTGGATCCCATGAAATGTGTCGATAAAAAGTGAATTTGAATGTTTATAAACATGAGTCAAACATAGGCTTAATCTTCAATAATTCAGTGCAGTCTCCTGTAAGTACTCAGAAATGATTGCAAAAGTTGCCAATACCATTCTTCATGTAGATTGAAGGCAAATAAGCACTTTAAATTAAGTAATTAACAGATATCATGTGGCCATTATCTTCTATTAATTTCCATCAACTTAGTGGAAGAAACAAACTGAGGACTAGATTTTCTTTAACTAGTTCTGGTTTGTAAGAGGCAATGACATTTCTCGAAAAATATAGTCCATTTATTTATGTATTCGTTGATAGTGTTCATTATTTCAATTGCATAACTAAATTCAAGTATCTTCTCAATAGGTGTGCTACAACTAATGTAAAGTGATTGAGAGATCGTCTTTAATTTCTGAAAGTGAAAGTGTAGATATTATTGAATTGTGTTAAACACGATATAAACTGATTCATTAGGTATATTTCAATTAGAGTGTTCTAATTCTTCCATCTCTGCAGTTTTTGTCAGTCCCCACATGAATGAAAATGTGATGCTTCTTGAATTGTATTTATTTGCAGCCTTGTAATTGGAATATTTAAATTTGTCTATAGAATTGATGAACTGATTTGTACTGCAACTTATTTTGTGTGTGAAGCTTGCAAATCCCCAGCCTGTGCCCGGTTCAAGGGGCAATATGTTATCCAGACAACCAGCTTCATCTCCGGGTTTGAATGCCTCAAGTGGGGGTCTTTCTAGGCCTTCTTCATCTGGTGGTCATGGATCAAGACCTGCAACACCTACTGGGCGTCCAACTTTGGGCTCAACATCTAGATCTACTTTTACCTCGACATCTAATAAACACTCGCTGAACCAGTCCAAAACAGCCACTCTGACAACATCTAGAACAACATCAAATACAGCATCTAAACCTTCAAGATCTGCTACACCTACTTCCCGTGGCACGTTGTCTTCATCGAAGCCCACTGTTCCTTCAAGATCTTCTACACCTACAACAAGGTCTACTGCAAGATCCTCAACACCAACCAGGCCGTCTGTACCTGCTTCAAAGTCCACTTCCAGAGCAGCAACTCCAACTCGTAGGCCCACTTCAATGTCTAGTGCAACGTCAGCTGCTCGGATAAATTCCCCGATTCCATCTTCTGTTGCCAAGCCAGTTCCAACTGCAGCAAAAAATCCAGTTCCACCAAGGTCCAATTCCCCAACCGTGAAACCCAGAACATGGAAGCCTTCTGAAATGCCCGGATTCTCCCTTGATGCCCCTCCTAATTTGAGGACATCTTTGCCGCCTGACAGGCCACCTTCAGCCACTAGGGGCAGACCTGGAGCACCAAGTTCTCGATCTTCATCTGTTGAACCTATTTCGAATGGAAGGGTTAAAAGACAATCTTGTTCTCCAGCAAGAGGACGGGTTCCCAGTGGGATCATTCGTAGCAGTGGAAGCTCTGTCCCTGTGCCTGCTGTAAATAGGTTGCACGCCAAGGCTAATGACAATGTGAGCCCTGTTCTTTATGGTACTAAAATGGTTGAGAGGGTCATAAATATGCGGAAATTGGTTCCACCTAAGCAGGATGATAAGCATTCACCCCGTAGCAACTTATCTGGAAAGTCCTCATCACCTGACAGCACGGGCTTTGGAAGAACGCTCTCGAAGAAATCTTTAGATATGGCAATAAGGCATATGGTATGTGTACTCATCTCATCTAGTGTTACTGATATTGGAGTGATGCTACTAGTATGTTTAATCAAAGTATATAATGAACCTGGTTTCTGTCAACGTGTTAGTAGGATCTGAAAATGTTGGTCCTGTTGAACTATAAATATTTTGCCCAGATAAATGAACTCTATGAAGTTCTCTGATTAATTTGTGATTTTTTGTTTTAACAGGATATAAGGCGAACTATTCCAGGCAATCTACGTCCACTAATGACTAACATCCCGGCATCCTCCATGTACAGCGTGAGATCAGGGCCTACCAGAAGCAAGGCAGTCAGTGTGTTGGATTCCCCACTTGCAACAAGCAGTAATGCAAGTTCTGATGTGAGTGTCAATGTGTATGGAAACGAAGTAGATGATGATGTTAGCAGTGATAAGGGTATTCGATCTCCTACCAACTTACACGGCAGGTGATGATTCGTTCGAAATATCATTATATTCAGTCTTCAATTCTAGCCGTCCATTTATTTTTACTTGGATCCTCAACTGGCATATAGTTGTGACAAATGAGTAATACTACAGAAAAACTGGTAGAAAATCAGTTTGTTATGATCAGTGTAAAGTTTAATGCATGGGTAGATTGTACTAGTTGAAATCTTCGAATTATTATTAATGACACTTGGTTATATTCTAAAATGTCTTACAGTTACATGATGTTTTTCTTGTGAAATTGAGATCACTATGGGAAAAAATTGAAGATGTAAGAAAAAAGTTGGGATTCCTGAAAATGAAAGATGCTAAAGTCTGTTGCTCAATCACTAACATTTCAATAATTGTGAGATTCAGTAGAGGGAGGGACCTTCTTCCTAAAGGAATTCCCTTGACTGCACGTATGCTTCCACTATTGTCAGAAAAGAACGTAGTGGCTTGGCTGCTTCGACTTCCACCGTAGAAAAATTGACAGCACATAATTCTTGACATTGCTACTAATGTAAAAATGATCCAGTTGATGACTTCTTCGAGTCCATAATTAACGGAAATTATTGTATTTCCTGAATTTACAAAATATAGTCTTTCATTCTTAGTACAAGATAGTTGAGCACAAGCCAGCACCCGGAGAGCCATGGCAGCTTCTTGTGCTGACTCCGTTGAATGTTTGTTTTTCCATATATTGGATGGCCGCTCGAGTTCAGATGAATTTCTGGATCTATCACCGGTTTAAGTATATGCTTAATTGCTTTCAAGTACTTTAGTTCAAGATTCGACTAAAGCTTACACAATATTCTAATTGCTAGATAGATATTTGGGCTCGTACAAAGCTGGCATACACAAGGATTCCCACTGCTAAATACTAGTGCATGGGGAACTTGACTCATATGAACCTCTTCTACTTCAAATGGTTATGAGGATTGCTAATTACAGAAATGTATTCCTTTTTTTTTTTGTGGGAAGGGGGGTGGGGGGGCTCAAGCAAGTTGTTGAAATTATAATATAACAAAAATAAGCAGGGAATAAGTAGTGGTTGTACTTTGTAGGTCCTATAAAATGTGTGTGGTTAAAATTAATGTTCGACTTTCATCATCAAATTATAAGGAAATTATATGTTCGACGAGAATTCCTAAATATATTTGAAATGCATGCAAAAAAGTTAGAAAGTAAAAGGTTTATAGTTTTTATTGGCACTCAGGTTCAATTTTGTTCGGGTAGAAATTGGATTAAATCGGACTATCCTTTTGAATGTGTAAAATGCCATCCTTAATCCTTTCATTAACAATAAAGTTCATCAAAACTCCAATCAAATTCAAAAAACTAGATCGATTGATCAAAATCTTGAACTTTACGATGGAAAGGTCTGCTTTAGTTGACAAATTAAGCCTCTGTTTAGTAGGAATTAAAATCAGATTTTTAGTAGATGTTGATAAAATGTGTGGTTGAAAAATTATGGGACCCATAAGATGTGATTAAAATTGATTGTTGACTTTGATTTAAATTAAAATCTAGATTTTAATTTGTACCAAACAAGGGGCTAAATGAGAGAATGACACGATATAAATTTCATGAAATTCAAAGGGGTAAACTAACTATATAAGTATAATACAAGGAGGTTTATGCAATTTATCAGAAGCTGGACACTTGGCAATTTTTTTGGGTTACTATTTTAGTGCATAAACAAAAATAATTATCCAACAAACCTTCTTACGACACTCATCGCTAATCATATCCTATCTTTCTCTCTCTTCTCGCTCTCGTCGATTCGATCACAGCACTGATCATGGCGAGCTTGTGGCAGGCGGCGATGGGCTCGTCCCAATCAAGTGAAAACTACGATGGAGTTGAGTTCTGGGTCAACCCGGAACGGTGCGGTTGGCTGATGAAGCAAGGCGAGTACATCAAGACGTGGCGGCGCCGCTGGTTCGTGTTGAAACAGGGGAAGCTCTTCTGGTTCAAAGAATCCGACATCAATCGCGGTTCCAAGCCACGTGGAGTGATCCCGGTGGCCAATTGCCTCACGGTCAAAGGCGCCGAGGACGTACTAAATCGGCAATTTGCTTTTGAATTGTCCACTAGGTCAGAGACCATGTACTTTATCGCGGATTCGGAGAAGGAAAAGGAGGATTGGATTAACTCAATTGGGCGTTCTATTGTGCAGCACTCCAGATCGGTCACTGATAATGAGATTCTCGATTATGATAGCCGGAAATGATGAGGTATAATTTAATTAAATACCTGAGTTTTTTTTTTTTTCCTTTTTAAGAGAAAAAAAGTAGTGGGTTGGGGGATCTGAACTTAAAGTTTATATGGGGAACTTGGTTTTGTTGTGGTGTATATTGATGCCTCTGATTTTCTGTTTCTTTTCCTTTTTCATTTTGGTTCTGGATTCAACGGTCTCAAAGCTGTAATAACTACTGTTTTCAGTGTTAAATGAAATTTATGGATTCTGTAATTTTGCCTTCTTCTGTAAAATTATGATGCGTAGAGTAATTGCTTTTCAGAATGGTTCAAGAATGAGTTGCAATGCTAAATTGTTTGAAGTTATACTGATATATTGATTGGATTTTAGTTTATTAAAATGAGTTGAACTATAGTGGTTGGGGTCTATGCAGCTCATGAGTTTAGATGGATGTGATGAATAAGCTCAGGTCCTTTAGGTATTAAGGATTGCTCAAACCCATATAAAGATTAGCTCCCTATCCTTCAAGAAAATCCTACACAAATTGGCTTGCTGAATTGAAAACTGTTGACACACTAAAAGTGCAGTCCAAATTAGATGGCCCAAAGAGCGAAACCCAGTTGGGAATCCAAGGTGAAAGCCCAAGTAAAGGGTAAAAAGCCCACAAACAAAGGAACGCCGTCACCCAAGCTTGCAGAACGCCTAGATGTTGAGCGAATGAAATACCTTATGGACGCCCAGAGCGAAGGAGTCGTCGCCCAAATTGGTGGGTTTTCCAGAATCCTAGCGATGACTAAACCCTGTTGTTATCTAAAGTCACGATTTGAGACGATTTGAGCACATCACGATTACATCCCACGATTTGAAAAAATTAGTGAGAAGCGGTTATGAAGAAAACGTGGTGGTAGGAGTTACAAATGGTAGTTATTGGCCAGTCAGCCACTATGAAAGAAATTGGTAGTTACGAACTCTGCTCAAGGAGTATAAAAGGAAGAAGAAAGCAATGAAGAAAGCCCCGACAAAATTCACTCTCAAACGGCAAACAGAGAATATGTAATTTACTTTTTCTTAGATTAATTTTAATTAATTCAATCTCCTTGTACTTGTGTGCTTGCGTCCCTTGGAGGCATCTTGTTCGTATCCAAACTGTAATCTTCATATTCGATAAACACCCCTTTTTGGGACTTTGTTCCAAGAAGTTTGTTCCTTGCACAATCGTCTCATCCTCTTTTAATTGTTAGCGAGTAACCACGCGAAACAAAAACCTTCTTCTAGAAAAAGGAAGAGGAAAGAAATTTGTTTTTGGTTTGTGCCCGTTTGCACGCTGTTTGCATTCCATTCAAGATTGTTTGAATCGTAAGGATTTGTCAGTTCGTTCACGAATTAATGCTTCCAGTCCCTTCAACTTATTGTTCTAAAGTGATGGCGTGAATCTACTTTAAATGTACATAAAGTCTTAAAGCATACAGCTGAAAGTGGTTTAATGGATTCATTGTGTCTGTTGCTTTGACTACACAAACAATGCATTTGGCATTTAAGGATTAAGGTGTAGTTTACTTGTAAGATGACTGGAAAAAAATTGGGTCCTATAATAATCTTTCACCATTAGATACGTGACCAACAAAGTTCATGTAGTCTCTCCTTTTTTAACAAGATTATTTCAATTTTGTGTTTGCTTATTGAGTTGTTTGAAGATAATATTATGAAGTGAGAATATTGGTCTATGAGAAGAGTTTTCCATCAACACATAGCATTCCTCCGTGTGTGTGTGTGTGTGTGTGTGTGGAAAAGAGTTCTTATAGAATTTTGTTCCATTGGAAGGTTAGCATTGCACTATAATTAAACTGATTCCTATTGCGTGAATGAGCATTTCTGATTCACGATGATGAATGAGGTACATTAGAATAAAGGAGTCATGAAAAAAAATTCAATAAACATGCCCTTAGCTTTATAAGTTACTAATAGTGGTACAAGTCCATTTCTTTTTTCAGTTCCTCTTTCTCACGAGGATCTCACGGAGAAGTTATTGATCCTGGATGAAAGAACTCATCTAGTGGGTTGAACAAATCCATATTTAACATTAAACGTTTGTTAGTATGAACTCCCAAGAATTTTTCTTCAATGACTATTTGGTTTTCAGTTGCTTTCAATTTTCCAGAAAATCTAGCAATAAACTGAATTGAGTGGTAGAAATTAGAAAAAGAATTTGCGTAGCTACCCAAATTTATTAAGAACGAGGCTTGTTTGCAGTTGTTGTAGAGCGTCCTTTCCCCCCCACATCTCATGGACTTGGGTGAGAGTATCCTTGTGCTCGTAAGTATATGTGCATGTCTAATTTTCAGTTTTAACCAACATCCTGATCCATGGATGCACAGACATGGAAAAATATTATATTCTAGGTTTCCGATGTGTTTCATGCTATAGAATTAATTGAACATATTATGTTCAAAATGGACAGTTAACTCAATTGAAAGTAGTTATTCAACAGAAAGAACCTGGACTTTTAGTTGTACTTGTATATCACTATCTTATTGGGATCTAGCCTAGTAGCCATCAGAAGAAAAAAAAAAAGTACCAGTATGTTAGTGCTTCTCAAAGAGCTAAAAATAGGAGCACTTTCTGTTCAAGATTATCTGTTCTTCATACTGGTGATGTTGTAAATCCCAAAGGCCAGTGTTCTGAGGATGTCAGTGTGGTGTCAATCTCTAGCCAACTATGATTGGGATTGGCTAAACAGAAAGTAATTTTTTTCAAAAAGGTAAAGAATTGTTTCAAAAATACCAAGTTTTTGAACTATAACTTCAAAAAGAATAAAGAAAATAAACACTTCTAAAAGGGTTCGAAGATGTTTGGAAAAACAAGTTACTCAAAAGTAACTTTTAAGCTAGTCTAATGCTTAATGGGTTTCTTTGATGTGGTAGATGAATAACCAACAGATAGATTTTTCTACCGTTTGATATTGCATCATGTTGTAGTCTCTTCTGAGTTAGAACTTGGGTGAGATGTCTGGAGTAGGGCGTGCTGTTGAGAGAGCATCTATCTACTCGAATTAACTTGCTGTGGTGTTCAATTCTGTGTATTTTTATGTGATAATTCTCTTGAAAGATAATCTATGCCCCCGTAATTTGTGTTGATGCTTCCCTATCAGCATTAGCAATTGTTGTATGATACTCATCACCTGTGTGACTGGCCAATATCCCAGGCTAGGCTTATATCATAACATCCACAGCTTGGATTCAACCTCACTAAATTTGAGGAATGTTTGATGAACTTCACATCTAGATTTACCATTTCTAAGTATCTGACGCTCTCATTGTTGTAGAAATTGCAAGAGTTGGGTGAGCTTGTCAATTACCTCTCTTAAATGCTGGAAAATGAGAATTCTAATCCACTTCCTTCCCTGTTGCTTCAAGGATTGGAGAACCCATATCTAACGAAGCAGCTATAATGAAGATTACTAAACGGTATGGTGCTTGTCAGTATGGCCCTGGCAGCCGATACCGAAGATTTTGTGACCAACAATTGTGTTATACAAACAGGCTCAAAGACATGTTTAGAAACAGGAAAGACATGTGATTTGACATTTTGCAAAAAAAAAAAAATGAAAACACAACACCCAATTATTATCTGTCACATTACCGTGCTCCTCCATTCTTGTCCTTGAGCGTATCCAATGAGCAATATTCTTGTGACAATGTTGGTGATGTGATTGTTTGCTTATTATTGCAGTCTAAAAAATTCAACACTCCATAGAAGAAGAGCAGATCACGTGATGTGTTGAGTAGTAGATGAGTACTTCTTGAGAGTATGATGAGGACAATTGACAAACATATCTTATCCGTTCTTCTACAATTACAATTTTGTTGACATCGTGTGATACTATACACATTTTTGTCATTAGTTTTAATAATACTTAATGTAATCAATGACCTCGATTTTGACAACTCACACAACGTCAAGGAAGATGTACATACAAATAGCATAATCTTTATCTTATTTGTTGAGACTAGTTAGTCTCTTCATTACATCATCGAACAAGAAACAAGCATCTAAACTACATAGTCCTTTCGGCATGACTTTTCAAAAGTAGTTTTGTGAGATTTTAGGTTAATTTTATAAAAAATACTTGTTTTAATTAGAAGAGCTTTTAGAAAAAATTAATTCATCGTGACTTCCTCTAAAAAAAAGCTCTTTCGGGGGAGAGAGCAATTTTAAAAACTAGTTTTTAAATACGTAACATTCTCAAAAAATTCCAGAAATCATGCCAAAATGCCTCTAATTATATCCACCGAGCATTCAAAACTTATTTGTCTATTTCTCTTTATCTTCTTTTCCGACACTTATTTCCAAGAAAAAGAATTGGAACTTTGAACTATCAAACTGTAAATAACATTGCATTCAGTTCATTCTGAATTTATATTCCAATTAACCAAAAACAAAGGAGTTTTTTACTAAATCAAAGCAAGATACAAGTACTCTCCCAATTCCGATCAATTAGAAAATAAAGATTCATCAATTTCAATCTTAACCACCTCTCCATCATCATACTTATCTTTCCTCGGCGGCGCCGGCGGTACCGAAACCCTCGGCGGTCCTCTTCCCTTATTCTTGTCCTTCGGCCTCGCCTATATTATTATTTATCACGAATATTTTCCAGATTACCAAAAGAATTTGAAAAAAATAAAATTAAAAAATTAAACTGCCAAATGGGTTGGGTACCCAAAAATATTGAGAAAACTCACATTGCCAAAGGAGTGATTGAAACGCTTGCCTCTAGCAGTCTTCCTGTCCCCTCTGCCACAGTATACTGCAAAACCAGAATTAAATTACCATTATTACC